CGAAGGAAAGAAGAAAATTAGATACAGAAAAGGAAACTCTCATTCCCAGAGTTTCCATTAACATTACGGTTTAGAATGAAGCATCGAAGCCAAAATTTGGTTGTTGTTTTTATGCATCTCTACCTCTAGATACACACACACACGTCAATAACCCCAGGTTTTCTACCATAAATCTTGTTTCTATGTGATATCGATTTCGAAAACAAACTGCAGCCACAATATATGATACTGTCAGTAAAGAAAAAGTCAAATCAGTTTTTGTTTACGAAATTTCAACAAATTCTTCCATACGACATCCACACACGAAAACGGATACGACACACATTGGCGAGATAGCGTGATAATCTTTCGTTTCTTCCACCAATACCACCTTTTGCCCACTATTCGAGGACACAGGTAGGCGTGGCGTGTGCAGCCCCAATTCAGAACGACCACAACCCTATTTAAAAGAAATTGAACGGTTAACACTCCCTCAGTGATCCTTGTTAACTGAGTGCACTTGAGGCGAAATAACATCTGTGCTGGATGTATAACACTCGCTTAACACGCTCACAATACACTTCCCGAATTTATCGAGTAATTTAGACATGGGAACCAGTGGTTAATATTTATATTGATAGTATTGCCAACCCAAGTGTTACAGACTGACAGTAATACTCCTTATAATAAAAATAATAATGATCATGACAATGGTAATATCATTATTATTATCACCGTTTTCATTTTTATTGTTTCTGCCAAGGAAGTTATATATCTGGTCGCGTTGGTTAGTGTGTTTGTTCGTTGGTTAGCTGGATATCTCAAATACTTATGAATAGATTTTTCTGAAAGTTTTACCTGTGTCTTACATTTATGATGATAACAATAAGAGTGAGAGAGAGAGAGAGAGAGAGAGAGAGAGAGAGAGAGAGAGAGAGAGAGAGAGAGAGAGAATGTACAGACACACACACATTTAATTTCATTAAATTTTGGTGGTGATCCAGGAATTTTTAAAAATGGCTGCATCATTACCTCAATATCTTTGCCTCCGCCTAGGTTATGTCTACGGACGTCACTTGTGTTGCTGAGAAAAAAGTTATTTTAATGTAATTCTTTAGCCGTGAATATTCTTATTGCGTCAGTGATCTTATTGCCTTGGCAGAGGTATGCGCTCTCTGGGTGCTTCTTATCACTATTACTCCATATTCTTATCATTATTATTTCGTATCATTCATCCTTATCGTTTCATAAAATCATCCTTTTTGATTTATATTATTATCATTATCATTTAACTTTTGTTTACAAAAAAAAAAGTTAAAAAATACTGATCATCATTACAAGATACACGTTATATATATATATATATATATATATATATATATATATATAATATATATATATATATATGTATGTGTGTGTGTGTGTGTGTGTGTGTGTGTGTGTGTGTGTGTGTGTGTGTATGTATGTATTATTCCTAAACATATTTCTATTATTGATATAAGAATTTCGGTGACTATTTTTTTTTTTCAAATCCTATACTGTCAGTTTCGTCCGAACGCGATGGTTGTCAGTCAACCGCGAATTATTGTTATTGCTGTAAAATTTCCTCTGTAATGTAAAACAAATCTATTTTATTATGAAATGATTCGGAAAGACAATTTGTATACAAAATGCAAGGTAAGTGGCCAAATTTTCTTATTTATTTTTTTAAGAAATGGAAGAAAACTAACTACTCGTCTGTTTGTTTACATCTGTGTACCACGCCCCCCCCCCCGAAATACAAGTCGAGAATATACTTTCTTGCTTTCCAAGTTATGATTTTATCTTTCATTTTTCATTCTTTATCATTATATATTTTTTACGTTGAACTTTATTTCGCTTTCTTACAACCATATACTGTAGATGATCGCAATAGCTTTTGCAAGGTTCGAAGCCATCTTGTGTTAGTAATTTCGGAGGACTAGTTCAATGGTTCTTATTGCTAGTGTGAGTACGCGCGCAAAACAAATAGAACAAAGAATAATAATGATAGGAAACAAATAAACAAAATTACATTCTTACATAAATGTTTCCGTGAATTGTACGAAAATAACATGCGAGAAAAATATGTTTTGCCACCCCCACCCCCCAAAAAAGTAGGAAATTGAATTCGAAAAAGTAGATTTCTCCGCATCCGTTAACTTTCATACATCTGCGCATGTGCAGTGACGTGACTCCGCCCACTTCTCTGCCACGGCTCCGCCCTCCGCTCCAATACCTTGTTATTCCTCCAACACCGCACTTCCCGGTGATAATAAAATGAACTCAGTAAAAGATGAATGCATAAAATTGAAAATATGAAAACAAATATGGTAAAATAATGCCGAGACCAAATGGAATACCGTTCATAAAGAATACGGAAATGTAGAGTTTTTCAAACTCTCAAAAGGACGTAGAATGATTACGAATTGTCACAATGTGCTTTACAACGCAATATCGGTGTTATTTCTAGTGATTCAGTTAATATATTGTATTTACAAGAAAATGTTCCTCCTTCGTAATGTGTGTGTGTGCAATATTTGTGTGAGTGTGGTGTGAGTGTGCAATTTTGTGTGTGTGTGTGTGTGTGTGTTGTGTGTGTGTGTGTGCCTGTGTGTATAATTTCTGTGTGTGTTTTTCATGTGTGTATGTGTATAATTTCTGTGTGCATGTGTGTGTGCGTGTATCGTTGGTATCAGAACAGATGTTCAACACTGTACAGGTGTACCGAGTCTCTCTCTCTCTCTCGCACACACACACACACACACACACACACACACACACACACACACACACACACACACACACACACACACACACACACACACACATCTTCCAGGCTTTGTATCACCAACCGTTGTTAATCAAAACGACCAAGTAAATGCCTGTTAGTCTGTAACAATTGGGTTGGTAATAATATGATCAGCATGAAAATCATCACTGGTTCCCATGTACTAAATTGCTCGATAAATTCGGGAAAAAGTGTATTGTGAGCGTGTTAAGCGAGTGTTATCCATCCAGCACAGATGTTATTTCGCCTCAAGTGCACTCAGTTAACAAGGACCACTGAGGGAGTGTTAACCGTTCAATTTCTTTAAAAAAATGGTCGTTCTGAGATGGGCTGCACACGCCACGCCTACCTGTGTCCTCGAATAGTGGGCAAAGACATAAACTATTTACCTATGTGTCGTGTTCGTTTTCGTGTGTGGGTGTCGTTTTCATCAACAAATACCGATTGACTTTTTATTTTTTATTTTTTTATTTTATTTATTTATTTTTTTTTTTTTTACTGAATCATGAGAGATTGTGGCTGCAGTCTGTTTTCGAATTTTGTAACGCGTAGACACAATAATTACCGGAAAACACACAGAAATTATACATACACACACACACTCACACACTAGAAAATTATACACACACACACACAGAAATTGCACACACACACACACTCACACATAGAAATTATACACACACACACACACACACACACACACACACACACACTCACAATTGCACACACACACACACTCACACATAGAAATTACACACACACACACACACACACACACACACACACACACACACACACACACACACACACACACACAACAACACAAAGGAGGAACATTTTCTTGTAAATACAATATATAAACTGAATCACTTGGTTACTGACATGAGTGTGTATTTGTGAAAATATCTTCCTTCAACATATGATGAACATGGAAGTGTTCACATATGACGTGTTCAAAAGGACGCTGTCATGCTTCACCAACAGCAAGACGTAAAGAAGAAGAAGAAGAGAGAGAAACGAAAACGAAGATGAGGTGAAAATACAAAAATGAGATAAAGACGAATAGACCAGAGAAGAGGAGATGAAGAGAGAAAGGAGGAAATAGAAGAGGAAAATTGATTAAAAAAAAAAAAAAAGACAAAATCAAGCGGGAAGAGAAAAAAAAAAAAGAAGGAAAATGAAGAGAAGGGCGATGAATAACATCCAGAAGTAGAGATGCATAAAAAACAACCAAATTTTGGCTTCGATGCTTCATTCTAAACCGTAATGTTAATGGAAACTGGGAATTAGAGTTTCCTTTTCTTTCTCTAACTTTCTTCATTCCTTCGATTTTCTTTATTCCTCTCATTTTCTTTATTCAAAATTGCAGCAGTCCATTCGCTAGGAAAGAAACTTTTTTAACCAGCATCTTTACCAATAATGAAAATAATTGTGACTTCTTCATTACAGTAACGATGTAAATCGTAATACTTATGATCATTAATGTATATAATGATAGTAATACGCATATATCATAGTACATATTCGTATATATATATGTGTTTTTTTTTTTGGGGGGGGGGGGAGGAGTCCCATGCAGGCGGAAGACCCTCAGAAACATAACTTTTATGTAAAACTTCAATTTACGTAACATTCAAAAAGCCTTCTTGTTTCGTTTTGCATCCACGTACACACGCACATACGCGCGCGCGCACACACACACACACACACACACACACATATGAGGGCCGGAGGTTTAATGAAAAAAATATATGATTGAATAAAAAATAATTAGTATTTTATTTTACCCGTACAAACCACATTTAAATTATATTGCCATTTACATATCATGTGTCACTGTGACTGTTCTTTCAGGAATGACACGCCAGTTCATCGTCATAATTTCATGAACGCAGCACTTGTTTTCGTTGTCAGTCGTCACTGCTTTTTCACTGTCATTTATCACTCGTCGTCGTCATTGTCATTTCACTGTCCCTGTCCTTCTTCACAGTCATCACTCGTCACTATCTTTTCACTGTCATTAATCACTCGTCATTGTCTTTTAACTATTACTCATCATTGTTTTTTTCACTGCCCATCACTCGTCACTATCTTTTCACTGTCATTTTTTTCTCCGTCTTCGATCACTCGTCACTTTTTTTTTTTTTTTTTTTTTTTCACTGCCACATCACTCGTCCCTGTTCTTTATTACTCATTTATCACTCCGTCTCTGTTTTTTTTCACTGCCACATATCACTCGTCACTGCTTTCATTCTGCCCAAAGATGCCCTGCAGTGTCCCGCGCCCACACCACTTCTCGCCAAAATACAGACGCCTGGGTGGTCATGATGGAGAAGCCGAGGCAGCGAAGTCTGTGGTAAAACGGCCAGAACTTTCGCACGGTGCTGTCGGGCCCGAAATCTCCTGTGGGATGAGAAAGATCTTTGAAGATGAAGGTTATTGAGCTTTTTGATTAATAATAATGGTTATGAGTTTGAAGGTTATGAGGGGAGGAGGATGAGAAATACCTTTTGATTAATAAAAATGGTTATTTATGATCTGTGCGTGAAGGATGAGAAAATACCTTTTGATTAATTAATGGTTATGAGTTTGAAGGTTATGGTGAGAAATACCTTTTGATGGTTATGAGTTTTTGATGATGTAAGTAGAAAAGGGGAAGGATGAGAAATACCTTTTGATTAATAAAAATGGTTATGAGATTCTGATGATCGCGAAGAAACAACTGTGCTGTGTTAAGTAGAAAATAAATAGGGAGCATATTTATAGAGCGTTGGGAGAATACTATTTTAAGTCACAGCTCGATGGAGTGCAGAGACACTGCATGAGGTATGGTATCTAAATACTTAGTAACAATCATTAAATTGTTTAAACAACGTACCAAACATGTATCCAATTTGTTCAAGGTACCAATATATATATATAAATATGACGAAAGTAAAACGTATACCAGTGATGGTTTGGTCACATGCCTACAAACAAACAGATACATACATACTCTATAAACACTTAAAACCTCTATTAATAATCCTCGCCCTTTAAATAAAAACATCTTAGATGCCAACAGACATACAGTCATACATGCAAATATACACTGCAAACACGTAAGCCACAGTGGCAGTACCGAATACATAATCGTGGTGGATCTCTATAGCCAGTTGGTTGATGTTCCTGAGGAGGTGAGGCGAGTTGTCCAGCAGGTCGCGCAGGACGTCCAGCTCGGCGAGTTCGATGTCCATCTTGACGTAGTCGATGACGCGGTCTTCGAGTCCCAGGCGCCGGACGATGTTCTCGTAGCGGTCGACCGGGAACGCCTGAAGAGAAACGAAAAGAAGGGGAGGTTTTGAACTCCGTAATATCAATATTCAGGGCACCGCAATCACATGTGTATATACAGAACACACTCACAACACCCAAGCATTTTACACGAATCAGATTCCGATAAATACGAGGATCGTTCCAAAAGTAATGCCTCCTATTTTTATTTAACTCTGCCCAAAGGGATCCAAGGAAATTGCTTATGACACTTATGATCGAACATTTGCGCTCATAACTTCAAACATTTTATTCTCTGTTGCAGATATTAATGGCATGACACTCTAAGAAAGCAACCCTTGTCATGGAGTGCGTCAGAAGCATCTAATTCCATGCAGAAGTCGCACCAGCCAATTTCACCGGTGACTGGTGAACGCTACAAAACCAATTTGGTTCAGCGCAGTTAGGAGATGGTTCATCGAGTCAGAAGTGAGTGACAGACAGCGATCCGGACGCCCTTGCAGCCACCACTCCGGGAAATGAAGTATGCCTCGATTAAACTCAACGCTAATTGGGGAGAACGGTGAGTGACATGCATGTAGAGTTGGATGGCAAGCCGTTTACAGTGCACTGACACCCACATCCAACTCGTCTTGTATTTCATTCACCGTTGATGAAGTGATTGAAGCGCATTTTAGTTTCCGGAGTGGTGGCTGTGGAAGGACGTTCGGAGTGTGATTTGTCACTCACGTTTCCGGAATCGACGAACCCATCTCCTGTGCTGACATCAACTGCCTCGGCTCCACAAACGTTCACCAGGCGCCGGGGAATGTCAATGCTTCTGACACATGTCCATGACAGGGCTTGCTTTCTTAGACTGTCATGCCATCAACATCTCCAACAGAGAGATAAACAATTCAGGTTATGACATCATAACATCTTCCGGATCCCTTAGAGTAGAAAAAAAAAAAAAAAAAAAAAAATAGGAGACATTACTTTTGGGACGACCCTCTTAACTTAATAGATCCAGAAGGAAATTCTTGAAACCTATGCAACAAGTCTCTTACTTTGTGAAAATTGAAATCCCACGCTTCTGGGTTCATGCCAATCCTCTTTTCTCCTCTGACGTCCGAGATGCCAAGCTTGAAGAACTGGATGTTAGGTGTCCTGTGGTGGTCCTCCATGCCCATGGTGGGGTCGAAGGCGTACACCTGCAACAAGGTTTCAGGTCAGCTGTTGTTTTCTGGTTAAGCTCTTTAATGTTTTACAACTTTAAGTGGACGAATTCACCTGTGATAATAACAATAAAATAAATGAAAAAAGGCATCAGTTATATCTTTTGGTCATAAACTGAACATACGAGAGAAAGCTAGACAAGTATTTTTTTTTTCCTATATACATCTACATATGTATACATACACATACACACACACACACACACACACACACACACATATATA